AACACACATTTTTGCGGTTTCAAAAAACATGTGTATGTATTGCACGTAAATGTCTGTTGCGCAGTACTGCGCAGTGCTGTTGGCTTCTTTTAGCTATAAAGACGCATTCGCCAGAAATGCCTGTGCTTATTTTCGTGTCTTCAAGACGACAGACACGACTAACAAGCGATGATCTGATCGCATACATATGCGGTAGCGATCATCCGAAGCAGTGGTTGCACATGACCGAAGACGAGGTAGAGAGGCGCAAAGCATAGCCTTTAGTTAAGTTTCATATTTAGTTCAGTATCGTAAGAGACATGATCCATGAACCTGCCCTGAAAACGACCCTATCCTTCGGCATTGGAATGCATCACGCGGGGATGTACGAAAATGACAGGCGCCTGGTGGAGGACTTATTTGCCGAACGAAAAATACAGGTGCGTTTTTTATCGTCTGCAGTTCTTAGTTTTTTAGTTGAAAATGGTTTCGTGATCAGGTACTGATCGCCACTGCGACTCTTGCATGGGGAATAAATTTGCCGGCGCATTTGGTGATCGTCAAGGGGACTGAGTATTACGATGGCAAAACGAGGGGTTTCGTCGATTTCCCTATTACTGGTATGCAGTGGACTGATCGGCGTTGCACTTGATAACTTTCTTGACTCGTAGACGTTTTGCAAATGATTGGCCGTGCCGGACGACCACAGTTCGATGACCGCGGCATTGCCGTGATCTTGGCCGAGGACAGAAAGAAAGAGTTCATTCGAAAGTTCCTTTATGAACCGCTTCCGGTTGAGTCGAAGTAAATAAAACGAAGCGAAATGCCACAACCTTAGTCTGTGTGACGTTTCATTTAATTTTAATCTTTTATAGTCTTCTTGAAGCGTTTCCCGACCACCTTAACGCGGAAATCGTCGCAGGAACCATCAACACTACGCATCAAGCACTTGATTACTTAACTTGGACATATTTTTTTAGGCGAATGTTCATTAATCCATGGTTTGTATTTTTGCTCACTCACATATCGAATTATTGGGTACGACTTGTTTCAGTTACTATGGACTTCAAAGTCATGAACCGCTACAAGTGAACAAATTCTTGTCAGGGATCGTTCAACAGGCGATCGGTGCACTGGAATCTTCCAGTTGCGTCTGCACGTTGGAGGTAAGTGCCTGCCAAATTTTACGTTAGACCGCACGAGCGCTGCATTTAACATCACGTTAAACTTGATTTTCGCTATTTTTTGTCTTTAGGACAGACGCACCGTATGCGCTACGTTTCTTGGTAGAATCGCATCCTATTATTACTTATCGCACAAGACCGTTAAACTTCTCAATCTACAATTGAAAAACGATGTCAAGATACCCGACTTGCTCAAAATTCTTTCGGTGATACTACGCTGAACTTTTATTTGTGCAGTTGATCATTTAAGAATTTTTTCAGGCGGTGACGGAATACAACGACGTGCCTGTCAGGCATAATGAAGATGAATTAAATAGGTACAAAATTGATTTAGGAACTTAGTATTCTTGAATATATTTTGATGTGACTTCATTGAGTTGTCCGTGCTGCTGTACCGTGCAGCTCTAGTGCTTCTTATGTCAGTGTAATGTTCGGCATTTCTAATCTTAGTACTGCATTTCGCTTAGTTCATGCGGTATCGCTAGTTTTCTTTGTCGCCTTCGGCCGTTATCAGTTTAGACTTCAGATTCAGCTATTTTTAAAGTTGCATTTTTCGTTCTTTCTTGAAAATCATCACACAGAGGCATAAATATGAATCAACGATTTTCTGAATTAACCCTCTTGAATGTGCTTGACTCCTCTTTCTACTTATAATAGAGCTTTGTTTTCTTACTTTTCTTTCATTCTTCCTATGTTGAAGGTTCTTCGATATAGCTGCTTCTTTGTTCCACGCCTTATCTAGGAATGCTTAAGTTGATAGGTGGATCTTATGACATTTGTAGTGCTATGCCAAGAAAAGCCATCGTGTCTTTCACGTACCAGGTCACTGTCGAACCCCTTTCTTTACGCAGATTGGCATTCATTAATTTTAAAAGTTTAGTTCAATCTTTTCACCATCAGAATGTTTGGTCAAGTTTTTCTTCTCTAATTCTGCTAATTCGTTGATCATCGATTTGCCTCAGTTTCTCTAAAAGTTTCCCTTTTCGCGTTTGAAATAATTCTGGAAATTTTGCTATAAATTCAAAAAGTGCAGTAGCAACATGCTCTCTAAATTGGATTACACGATTACCAGGATTGTTTTTCTCTTGAAGTGTTGAAACTATCCATGACTTTCTGAAAACGAGTATTGCCTCCGAAAATTTGCTGATATCTTCCTTCAGAGCTTCATGTAATAACGTGATTTTTTCTTGGGGCATTAGAGTCAGGGGATTCTGTTAATCCTGTCATTCAGTTCATATTTCATTATCTGTTTAGACCTTTCATAATTTGCAGTTCAGTCATCGTCGTTCTGTTTGTATCTCAGGACTAACGAGCTCAGGAGTTGATTTTGATCTGGAATCGCGCGAACTACCTTAAGATGTCGGTACAGTTAAATGCGAGCAGGGCAAACAGGCAAACTGTTTTCTTACGAAACTTGTGAAGCTTTATTGCACTGAGTTTCTCATTTATACATTCATTTGCACATTCGTTCATTGTCAGAGTACGTTATTCCTTTCAAGCTTCCGGGCAGCAGTTTCAAGAGGCTTTTTCAGTCATCCCTTTTCTTCCAGTCGGCAACAGGTTCATTTTCGAAATTGTTGCAGGATTACTGCAGACCGCTTAAAATTCATGGTTAATATAAAGATTATAATATTATTTATCAATGAGTCATGAAAAAGTCAGGAGAAATGAAATGATGCATTTCCTTGCAAGGATTATGTTTAAAATTTGTTTGCAACCAAATTACACGACGTTTTGCACAATTTTCTTGCTATCAATTGTGTAGGGATGATGTATGACGCCATGGTGCCCCTTGATATTTCAATACC